AATTCAGCCCTTGAGGGCACAATCCTACTTTGATTTTGAATATCTGTAATTAACGTGTGATTACCAAATGAATATTATGTGTTAATGAGCAATCTGAAAAGTATTATGTTAGACAATAGGTGTGAATGCAGCATGATAGGAGCTAGAACCTATTGCCCATTTGAAGCAGCATGACAAAAAAATGTGCCAAGAGTATCATAGAAACCAACATCTCTAAAGCCACTGTGAAACCATGACCAATCTCCTTGGCTGTCCCTACTCTTCTTGCCCAGCAGATTTCTATGTTCCCACCCCCAAACCTCAAAAGATCTTCAGCCAACCTTCTAGGGTGGAGACAAATTGATATCTCCAGCCTTACTCTCAAACCTGATCTTGAACTGACCTCCTATGGTAGAGGCACCTAGACCCATCATTCCTTACTCCTAAACCCCAGCAGATCTACAAACTCTTGTTGGTCTGGAGACAATTAAATATCTCTGTCCAGATCCTTTGCCATATTTCATACTCTAAATCTGCCAAGGTAAAATGTCCTACCTCACCTGCTATTACCAACCAGCCACACAAGGAAGGAAGGAATTAAACTTTTAACATTTCTGTTCACCAGGTCTTATGGGTATCAACAACAAACTTGGAAGGAAAACAAGCAAAATTTTATTAAAAAAAAGATCAAACTGAGTTTTCTACCATGGCTTTCCAGTACTAACTCTCTCTTAAATTACCTAAAGAAAAGCTGAAAATTTTATTTTCTCTACTAAAGATGTGTGAAGTCATGATTTGTTCTCGGTGTATAAATGTAAGATTTCACTGAATCTGAGTAATGTTTTAAGCATTCGGCTTGACTTTTGAAAACAGTTAATCTAAAGGATGGCTGAGCATTGTGTGCAACTTTTAGGTAATTGCAGTGTGACCATTATTCTTCTCTCTTACTCGTTGTCTCTGCTCTTCTAAACCTTCACTCTGATATGCCGCCTAAAGTGATAAGGATGAAGGTCAAATGGAGGGAAATGATACAGTGAGCTGTGTTATAGCCGTCTGCCTATTTAGTTAATTACAATTTAAAAAAAAAAGTGCTAAGTGATCTAATTGCCATGTGATCTGCAAGCTTAATGAAACTGATCCTGAACATAGTGTTTTTTTTTTTTTTTATATCAAAGAACAGTGAGCACTTCCTTCTGGTGCAGAGAGAAATGACAGCATAAATGGAATGTGTCATGAAATTATATTAAATAATATATTACATATCAGTATACTGTTTGAAGGTGGAGCAGATCAGGGATCTACCCTGCATGCAATGCAAGACAAGAATATTGTTTTAATTTTGTTATCGATCCATCCTTCATTCTCATGTAACACTACCCCTAGGCTTTTATACACTAAACCGTGACAAGATGAGATATTTACAAGAGGCATAAAATGTTTTTAACAAGAGTGTCGGGATGAGAAAATTCTTCAATTCAGCTATTTTTCCAGCTCTGTTATTTTGAGCTAATCTTGACATTTAAGGAGTCGATTCACAACAATTGACTGGTTAACACATTAACCCCTCTTTCAGTAGCTGAAAACTCTCCGTGCACTTCTAGAAATAGTTTCACATATGTTCCCTAGCACATTTGAGTCTCTAATGACATTGTTTGCACCATTCAGTTGCACTAGTGTTAATCCAGAAGAAGGATCTTTATTCAATTTAGGTCCATCTGGTCCAAAATGTGCAGATACACTTGTTGCCACTAAAATATGCTACATGCATCTGTTCTCCAATTCTATCCTGATTGAAGTCTAACAATCAATAGAAGGTTTCCAGATATTGAGATATATAGACTATGTCTTGTTCTAGTATTCATGTCCTTTTATCCTATACTACGTACCATGGTACTAGACATAACTTTATTTTCTAAACAATTTACTCCTTAATGTTCTAGTAAATATACACTCCTTTTCTAATAATCACAGCTTCTTAATCTAATAACCCAACTCCCACAAATATTTTATCTAGTAGACAGATCTCAAACCCTGCCCCCATATGTTGATAGGAACATAGAATGTGACGGCAGATAAGAACCATTCTAGTCTGCCCAATTTTCTAAATACTTTCATTAGTCCCTGGCCTTATCTTATAGTTAGGATAGCCTTATGCCTATCCCACGCATGCTTAAACTCCTTTACTGTGTTAACCTCTACCACTTCAGCTGAAAGGCTATTCCATGCATCAACTACCCTCTCAGTAAAGAAATACTTCCGGATATTATTTTTAAACCTTTGCCCCTCTAATTTAAGTCTATGTCCTCTTGTTGTGGTAGTTTTTCTTCTTTTAAATAACGGCCCACAATTCCCATAACTCTTTGAAAGCAGTAGATTAGCCAGAGAATTGTACAGTAGATGTACTTTAAAGATTGACATCACAGTCCAGTTCGGTCATGGCATGACTAAGTCACATATTGAATTGGAGAATTCATTTCTTCGCCTCCACATACTATGTTCAATCACAAAAATGGACGGGGCTTATAACAATGATTGACAAGGAGCAAAGATGGAGGTACTCATTACCAGAATAGAGCTAAATACAGTGGAGTGTCTATCGGTTTTTTTAATTTTTGGACTTCTCGGACACACATTTTCTAAAGAATGGAGATAAAAGCACACTTTAAGTAACACATTAAATATCCAAGGATGTGACAATGTCCCTTTAAGGAAGTGATAAACATATATGTGCACAACAACAAAAAATAGATCATGGTACATGAAGAGTGTGCAAATATCTGTCATGTCCACTATGAAATATATGGAAGGGTGCATTAACCAACAAGACGGCCTCTGAATTGAGATTAACTGCAAGTGGCATAGGGTAGCTTTCTTTAGAAATTGAGATCAGCTTGCTGAGAGAAATGATGCAATCAAGGTCAGCCAGAAGCTCTTTATTGAGTCCTGAAATTGTGCATTAAGTAGAACCCGAATAGGGAGAGTATGCTAGCCAGAGGCACACCAGATAGAAATTGCCTGCAAAGAAGCAAATTGAGATGTACAAAGGACCCCCAAGTCTTAAGAGGGATGTCGCTGAGGATCTGACTTTAAACGTGTTGGAGGATGATTGATTGACTGTCATATGAAAGTGCATTGTTTTTATTAATCTGTCTCTGCTGGCAGAAATGCCGGAAATCTAACATTCCTTTTTGTGTATGTTCTGCATTCTGGATATTCCTCCAAGAGTTAATCAGCAGCTATAATACAGTTGCTCTTACAGACGCTCTTACAGAATTCCATTCATTCTTTATGCTTAAAGGGGGACTGTCACCTTCGAGGTGGGAACATCTTCTAGCACTAAAATGGTTAAAGCATTGCTGTCACCTTCTGGGGACTTTGCCAAATTCACAAAGAACTCAGATGGTGACATCACACATGGGGATCCAGTGAGGGAGTGAGGGGTGAGAGTTACTTACCTGAACCTATCCCTCACTGGTGCCTCCGTATTCCTCCGTCTGCTTTTCTTCAGCCTCTGGTACTGAAACATGCGCAATCGTACAGTATTGAGGAACATTGTACAGTTTTAGTGTATTTTTTTTTATCAACAATCTAATGACAGTTTATGCAATGTGGTGTATGTATGTATGTATATATATATATATCCCATTGTACAGTTCTACGGAATGTGCTGGCGCTATATAAATAAAATAATAATTATATATATATATATATATATATATATATATGTATATATATATATGTAGCTACAGGATAATCAGAAAACCTTTTTTTTTATTCTCAAACATATACATTTATTATATACAAGGCAAATTCGGTTACTTGTGGCATTTGTCATAGGACCGTTGAAGTGTGGATGTTCAATGATGCTGAAAAACAATACTCTCTCCAAGGATTTTTGGGAATGATGTGGTACTAAAATAGTTAGGTAAGGAACTTGCAATGGGGGTTATTCTAGTATAATGCTAGGCATCTCAAAAAAGTGCTGTGATTAAACATTGGAGCAGTTTATGTTGTAGAAAGACAATGCTTAGATACATAAATGGCATGCATTTACACACACAAATTGAAGAGCCAAGGTTTAAAATCTACTGCATCATTACGTAACAGACTTGTGAATGGTGGAAAAATTCAGGTCAGCTGAATCAATTAAAATCAGCTGAATCAATTAATTCTGAAAAAAAAACACTTTGGGTGAACTGAATTGTGTTCATGTTTAGGTTCTGCTTGGCTGGCTTTCTTCCATGCAATCATTTCAGGAAAAAAGTTTAGATCTGGGATGGGCATCCTTCAGCACTCCAGATGTTTTGGACTACACCTCCCATGATGCTTTGCAGGAGATGCAGTCCACAACATATGGAGTGCCGAAGGTTACCTACCCTTGGTTTAGGTGAACCAAAATGCACATAAATGCGCCAATCCGTATACAACAAAATATTTACATTTTGTAAATATATATAATATACATGTGCATTGTATCATCATTTGGTTCACAGATCAAGTGAGAAGAAATAACAAATAAAGCGATTTGGATAAAATAAACATTTACAGGGTTAGTTAGAAAGCTGAGAATTCAAAATGAATTCAAAGAGAATTTCGAATGTAAGGTCTAACTAGACAAACCAGAAAATCTTTCTGTCAGCTATGCTTTCAGTTCGGCTACTTTGGCCTTACATTTTAAATTCCCTTTCAATTCTCACTGTAGTAAATATCTTTTTTTCCCATCAGTCATCTTTTTCGGTACTACAGGCAGAATTCTGAATCATGCATCAAATAAAACTGCTAATCCATGGTCCATTTTGGTTGGTTTGTGTCATATGGCGATTCGGAGTTACAGAGTTTGGAGTTCTGACAAATTGCAATTAGTTTGAAATGGAAAGTCTAGTGTTTATGTAGGACATTTGGAACCCAGACCAGATTCCTTTTGGGCTGAGCACCCCACCCCTTCATAATAAGTCCCTTTGACCACAGGAAAGCATAAACCTGTATGAGTCTCTGGAAGCAGTTTAAGCAGTAAGTGTTGTTTAAAGGGACACTCCAGGCACCCACACCACTTCTGCCCATTGGAATGGTCTGGGTGCCAACTCCCACTACTCTTAACCCTGCAACTGTAATTATTGCAGTTTTTAATAAATAATAATAAATAATTAGATTGCAGGGTTAACTCCACCTCTAGTGGCTGTCTACGAGACGGCCACTAGGGGGCACTTCCTTGTCCACAGCACAGAAAACCTGTGCTAGAGCGTCGCTGGACATCCTCACGCTATGTGAGGACCTCCAGCATTGCTCATTTCCCCATAGGAAAGCATTGAAAAGCATTTTCAATGCTTTCCTATGGGGAATGCTAATGCGCATGCGCGGCATTGCTGCGCATGCGCATTAGGTCTCCCCGGCCAGTGGGCGGGATCAGTCTCGCCCACCGGCCGATGCAATCAAAAGGAGGAGCGGCGGCGGAGGAAGAAGTAGCGACGTGGGACATCGTCGCTGCCTCTGGTAAGTTACTGAAGGGGTTTTCACCCCTTCAGCAACTGTGAATAAGGGGGTGGGAGGGAGAGGGGACCTGCAGTGCCAGGAAAACGGATTGTTTTCCTGGCACTGGAGTTTCCCTTTAATCTCCCATGTTAAAATAAGTGTATTAGTGTATACCTATATTGGGGTACTGTGATGTAGCGGTGGGCTTAACACAATATGGCCATACGCTGGAACTGAATCCCTATATTTGTTTTCTGACATAGGAGATTTAAAGTAACAAAATAAAATGTAAACTGTATTTATTTGTGTGTACGCTGTTCCCTAGTCTGTATTTAGTGCGTACATAAGTCCTCTTTTAAACTCCAATTCTCTGGTTAAACCATTTGGAAAGGTATAAACAAATGCAAATCCAAACAATGTTATTCAGCATATAAAAGCATGTAGCTTGAAGTAGCTGATAATACAACAAAGTTAACAGAGCCTTTTTCCATGCTACAGGGGAAGTTTTGTAGTGTCCTTTTAAGATGAAAATCTCCTCTGAAAGGAACACCTCAATCACCTAAAGAATGCTGAAGTGCTTTATGTGTGCAGAGTCTGCCCTCTTTTATTATTTTACTACTGTCCTATTCCTCCCTGGGTGTCTTGCTCAGCGGAGTTAAACTCAAGAGGCACCAATTGTCCAGAGCACCTTCTCACTGAGCTGCAATTGGAAAGTCTGTGATTAGACAATCTCAGAAAGTCTGGTCTGGGAAATAATGGGAGGGCTTTCATAGACTGCAGACAATATATTTTATATACACCCCAATGCAAAACTACATAAATAAATGCAGGTTTTCATTGGGAGTATGGTATATGTTCTAAACAGTGATTGCTTGATTGATTTCTAAATAGTGATTGCTTGATTGATTTCTAAATAGTGATTTATTTCTTTTTTTTTTGTAAATCTCTTTTTATTAAGGTTTTCATAAACAAAAGTACAAAGAGGCAGGACAGTTGTACATATGGGACTCGCAGGTCCCCAGTAGTAAGTAGAGCAAGAGAAAAAAAAAAAGGAAAGGAAGAAAACCACATATGTAAAACACATGCAGTAGGAGTGAACATGATGTGTTTAGGTGCCTTTATATTCCTAGGCTAGTTGTAGCTCTCAGGTTTCCCAACAGTAAATAAGTCAGCTATCGGCCTGTCGCCCACGGTCTCTTCTGTGATCTGACAGGGGATGTAGCGTCCTGCCTCCTGACCAACCGTGATTGTACAGCTATAACTTGTATCACGGTTTTTCCCCGTACCTGGGCAGATGAGCTTTACTAAGCTCTATAGTATACGGCTCTTGTCCCTGTTCTCTAGTTAGAAGGAGCGGGTCTTTGGCAATCTAAGGGGAATGTATCAGTGTATGTTCGGGAACATTTGTGTTCAGGAAGGCTGTCCCGTTACAGGTAACTTTTGGTAGTTTGCTTCTACTTTTCTGAAGTCTGCTGACATATGTGATTACTTGTTGGTTGTGTGACTGTAGTGTGTGATTGATTGATCGATTTCTAAATAGTGGTTGATTGATTTTTGTATTTTGGCAGTGGAGAGTCCATTGAACTCCCTTGTCCACATTAACCAGTAACAGTACAATTTGCTGCAATATTGCACAAACTCACATGTACCATAGCCTTTGAACCTGACTCTGGGATCTGCGATTAACTCTGGGATTAACCACATCTGTATTACTTTATTGGATTGTTATCACTTTGAAAGATAAATTAGCAACTCCGAAGACTAATATATTAACTACTGTAATCAAAATATGAAAATACTTAACATTTAAAGGGAAAGCACCTGTATTGAAAACCACCTGTGACTTGTCATGATTACTTTCATGCATTGCTCCAATATAACAAATTCTGGTAAATGACAACTCCTTTGTAAACAAAAATTGAGTAGTGTATAAAATCCAAAGTATGGAAATGTTTATTTTTTTGTTCCAAGAGGGACTTTGCATCATATTTGAATGGAACATCTTCCAGTTCCTGAATGATACCATTAGTGTATGCTTATTATCGGTTGGTTTGATGAGATTATGTGATAGCATATGACACAGGTTTATCAGTTTGTATTTACCCAGTGTCTACGTGTGACTCCGTTTTATTGTTCCTTTGGTGCTGCGTGCCAAAGCTGGTGCAAACACCCTAAATCTGGAGTCACAGTCAGAACCAAGTAAGCCTGTGATGATTATTTGCCTCCGTAGTTACCCATGCGTTTCGTGGGTCTGCACTCACTTCATCAGACAGAATAACCGATATGTAATCACCCTAACTTTAAATGCCAAAAAATCACCACTTGATTAACAAACCCCTAAGAATGTAAACTGTACATACAAAACAAATGTCTATTGTTACTCTCTGAAAGCTATGCATTCTGAGAAGTACATAAACATTTCACTCCATCAAATGCATTACATAATATCATTTGTAAAAGTTACCGCAATTTCAACCATTGTTATGTGTTTTATTAGAAATATAAGGTACATTTATACAAGAGATATGTTTTACTCATATTAAATTCTCTATTTGTAGGAGAAAATCTAAACGCAATGAATACGCATTACCGTTTAGTTATAATAAGAAAGACTTCATATATTTGTCACAGTTTTATAAATCATGCATTTTTGTTGTGTTTATTTTGCAATGTCAAAATGCGTTTCTTGTCTTATAAAATTGTATCAAATGCCAAGTCAAATAGGAAGGCAGTTAGTTCACCAGCTTTCTATATAGTGTACCCGTAATGTGTTTACACTGAATCAAGGCTTAGAACCAACAAATTAATGATACAAATTAATGAGTAAGATATTGGGTTATTTTAAAGATTTTGTTCTGTAATCATTTTTTTATTTTTCTGAGACAATGTTTTTAATGTTACCCCTGTAATTTGACTACTGAATGTGTATCCAAAATGAGGTTTCTAACATTTGTGGATTTTTTTTATTAAAAAATAGTCAAACATTTGGTCAATTTGCTTTAAAAAGGCATTGTCGCTTTTGAGATTTAATAAAAAGTCCAATCTTTAAAGGATTTACTTGAAATGTCAACCCATGAGTTGCTTATGGCAAGAGCACCTTCCTTCACAATGCCTTTGGCATCATCTTTCTAATGAGTGAGATGATCCGTGGAGAAACATCCTTGATCTTGCAGAGTCTTCCATAGAATTCTGCATTCTCTCTCATATGGATGAGAGAAGCACTAATGTCATGGCTCCTCGCAGTTTTGTCAATTTAAAAATGGAATCCAAGCTATGGATGATGGATCCAAGGAGGGAGAAATTCAGGTAAGTACCACTGCCTTCCAGCACAATATAAACATGAATGTTAGATTTGGGGAAATATGAAAAATACATATTTCACTTTTTTCTTACTTGATAATGTGTTTAATGGCTACATGCTGTTGTTCTTAATATTTTAATTCTGCATTTAAAAGAGATATATAGCATTACATTAATAAAATAAAACATAAAATGTAATTCTATGCAGTAAATGGATAGAGTCAATCTGGCATACGATTTGCATTCTAATTAAAGAAAAGAAAAGAGGGCACTAGGGTATCACACGTGAATACACCTTGGTATTTTGGGCTATGTAATTGAGAAGCGCTTATATCATTCTAAATGAAAATGCACATCATATCTGAATTTTGTGTGTTAGATTAATTTCACAGTTGAATTAAATATCTTTTAGTTAAGCCTTCGCTCTTTAATTATCTAGATTGGCATTTGCTTCTGAATTCAATAGGATCTTGCACAATAATTAATCTGATAAAAATGTAACTGTACTGTAGACCTATAGTGCACCTCGATGTATAACCATAGTACTAGTTAAATGAGGTTACCCCAGGTGTGGCCAAAACTTAACTACAGCTCTCATTATATCAATCCAGCATTTGGCGGCCTTCTAATTATTATGGGTTATAGTTTGTCTCTTCCTAAATCTCTGTGGACAAAAGATAAAATGCCTGTATTTAAATCACAGTCTGTGATTATTTAATTGTAAAAGAGGCCCTATGCAGTCATGTCCATATGCCATAAACACCTATGCATGCTTCTTCAATATGAAAGCTAGATGATATATTTTCTTTAAGGGATACTATCGGCACCCAGACCGGTTTATCTCATTGAAGTGGTCTGGGTGCATTGCCCCTGGCCTGGTTGCAGTGCCAGCTTAGTCCTGCAATGTAAAACATTGTAGTTTAAAGAAACTGGAATATTTACATTGCAGTGTTAAGACACAGCCACTAGAGGTGCTTCCGGGATTTTACAGGACTTCAGATTGCCTAACTGACGCTGGACGTCCTCACGGTTTACATGAGGACATTCAACTTCAGTAAATTCCCAATAGGAAAGCATTGATCCAACACTTTTCTATTGGGGATGGCCTAATGTGCTCGCAGCGCTTGCCGTGCATGCGCATTAGCCCACCCACCCATCGGATGACATTGGAGGAGGTGAAGGGACTACCCAGCGCCGAGGGACATTAATGCTGGAATCAGGTAAGTAAATAAAGGTTGTTTAACTGTTTATTTGCCATCGGGGATCAAGGTAGGTAGGATCAGATGGGTCTATAGTATTAGAAATACAGGTTTGTATTCCTAACGCTATAAAATCCCTGTAGACATGTGATTATGTAAAGTCGAGTTGGATTGTAGTATTTACTGGTATATCTTTACTGGTATATCTCCAAGGATCATAACCACTACAGCCCATTGTAAACAAATGTTTGTGATGACATCCAA